TTCCACGCCATATTACTTGACTAACGGCCTCACTGAGCGCACCAATCGTACCATCATAAACATGCTTTCAATGTACGTCGCAGCGGATCACAAGAACTGGGATTCCGTATTACCTTTTGTTACATACTCCTTTAATACCGCGAAACACGAAGTCACAGGTTATACGCCTTTTTTTCTCCTCTATGTTCGTCATCCCCAAAGTTTCCTTGACACCATACTTCCTTTTTCGACGAACGAAAACGCCAGTGACACGCAGACTTTGTGTCGCGCCGAAGAAGCTCGTCGACTTGCTCGGCTCCTAACTCTTTCCGCCCACGCTCGCGCGAAAGACCGTTACGACGCAAAACACCCGCCCGTGACTTTCGCTACAGGTGATTTGGTCTGGCTGTGGACGCCCGTTTGAAAGAAGAGACTTTGCCAGAAGTTTCTTTCTAAGTACTCAGGACCATTCGCCATTAGTCAGTGCGGAAGTGACATCACCTACGGTGTTGCGAAAGTGACAGCTCCGAACCGGCGTTCGCGCAAGACGCAAATTGTGCACATTGCCCGATTGAAGCTCTACAACAACCGATCGCTTCTACTCACTCGGTGAGCTTCGTCTGGCCCGGAGGAAAGTGTAACGCGAACTGAAAGAGCGAGGAAGAAGAAGAGATCGGACGCTCTCGAGCGGTGGTGATTCGGCAGTGACGGTAGAGCGCTGACATTTTTCAGTGTAAATAAACCCATCTCATCCGTAACAATATCTTCATCGGTGGCGGCATAAAACACTCGCGTGTTGATATAAAACTAGAAAAAACTACCCAGGATTCAGTGGCATTTTTACGTGAGCCATCTGCGTGGCAGTCGAGTTCACATAATACCAGAGGCCCTCTGGTGCTTGAAAACTAATTGTGAATATACTCCTCAAAAGAGTCCTGTCAGACAAAAAAAAACGCTTTAACCTATATAGGTGATATGGCGTGGTAGAGCAGTCAATTAACAACAACTTGTCACACAATGCTAAATGCTGTAGGGGTTTCGAGGCTGCTCGGCGCAGAGTCCCGCAGGGAAGACGTGGAGCCAGACCAGGAACCTTGTTTATTCCTCTCAGCCTCGGCCGCAACTGTCCGCTGCCAGCGGCTGCCGCATGTCCCACGCGCACACGCCATCGTCATTGTCTTCTTCTATACCAGCGCTCCCACACTGCTCAACACGTGAGTGGATTTGTGGTTACCACCCACTGCAAAGCACTCACCCATAATTTGTCAGTAACAATGGTCAAATGCATGTGCCATCAAAAACGTGCACAAAACATCCCATATAACAGCCCATACTTGTAATTTGTAATGGGTAACCCGCTTATACACAGAAAGTTGAACAGTGGCGTAGTAGAAACTGTCCTACCCATTAAAAATTATATTATTCATGCAACAGCACAAACAGCTTGTTCCGCAAGTAATATGGTGCCGGTGTCGACATTGCTGGTTGTGAACTAAAATTATCATGTTGTGTAGGACTAATAAATTCACAAAGATGCAAATATAATGTCATACGAGTTCAAAACTGAGGGCGTCTGTGTCACAAGCAGCTTTCCTAACCCAGCGCTAGGGTATTGTTTAAAAAAACGCTATATTAGCTTGGAAAAACAGCTTAATACCGCTATATGAATATAATGTATTGAAAACATAATCGTTAAGGCATGTAAGATGGCGTGGCAGCCGCGCGAAATCGTGTCAGCTATCAAAACATTTGATTTGGAATAAGCGAGTGACATATTTAACCTGGGATTGATTTACTCATCATAAGCAGCAAAAACATCAACAGAATGAGCATCTATGTAGATTGGGGTGTTGCCTGACGGATGCGCAGTGGGCCCTTCACTGGTTCTCAAAAGGAATAATTATGGCACGGTGTGCACTTGTCAACGGCAATTGCAGTAGGCATTTCAAGGTCTTTTGAAATGAAGAATGTTACACGTAGGTTAGCTCGTTTTTTTGCGAGTGGAAACATGCAAGAGAGGGAGAGAGAGAGAAACTTTAATAGAAAGTCAGTCAATTACTTCAGGCATGGCCCGTTGCCCCTGGTTGTCGGCCAGAATCCCTTGGGACACCGCAGCAGCAAGGGTCTGATGTCGCGATGATGTCGTGCTGAACTTTGGGGTCTGGGCTGCGGAGAAGGGCCTGCCAGGATTATACAGTGTGGGGACTATCGTTTTGACTTCGATATGCCCACACCATGTGGATCAAATTCGCTACTTCATCACAAAATTTACGATGGCACCAGAAAACTGCGGGTTACCACTTGCTGTAAAGTGCGGGATATGCAAAAACCTCTTCTCTAACTTTCGCCTCAAAACCTCGTTTTTCTTACTCAGTGAGTTAGTTGTCCGCTCTCTGGTACACTTGCCGATCGAGCCTGTAGTGTGCGACCATTTCATGGTATGTGCTCGCATGGTATGTTCGGTAACTTGGGATGTTCTAGAGGTCGTTCGGTAAGTCAGACTTCGGTCGACCGAATGAGCCTCCTCGTTACCTTTCAGTCCTTGGTGAGCTGGAGCCCACACGAGCATAACCAGCTCTTTGGGTACTCCTACCATGGTTGATATACGGATGGCAGTCTCCATCACCCTTGCCGATTTATAATTTCTCACGGTGTTTTGGAGTCGCTGATGACCACCCTGAGCCCCTTTTGTCTGATGGCCAAAGCTATGGCCACTTCCTCGGCCTCTACAGTCTCGATACCACGGACTGCGCAGCACGCCATGAGGCCACCGTCTTCCCTGACCACCACTGCCGTGTGTGCCGGTTCGCTTTCATATTCCGCAGCGTCCTTATACGCGACGTCCTGTCGACCGGTGTACCTGGATTGTAATGCCTCCGCCTGGCTTTGCGCCTGCCTTCGCGAAAGGTAGAATTCATGTTTTTGGGTTGTGGAGGTATCTTTATCCTGTCCCAGTTCTCTACCGCTATGTCTTTTGAACGCGCTTGCTCACACGTGGGCTCCTAGCCCAATTGTTTCAATATTGCTCTCCCCGTTGTAGATTCGAGAAGCGTTTGATGTTGTGCAGTCAAGGTAGCCTCCATCAGCTCATTGAGTGTGTTATATACCCCTAATTTTGCAAGTTTGTCAGTGTACGTGTTTGGGGGAGGTCTGAAAGCAACTTTCACACTTTTCTCGATGATGGTGTCAAGATTAGAAACAAGCAAAGATAATTCAAACGAGGCTAACAATGAAAAAAGTAAAGCGCACAGCACCTGATTGTGATACCGCGTTCTACTCTCGATCGCGAAGAGCAAGCGTCCTTGGAGTATTTTATGGCGTAGTCGATATTTTGTGCAAAGCCAAAGCATCAAACACAGTTGGTGTTGCCCCAACACGAAGCTGCACTAAGAATTCGCAATATGCAATGTGTTATTATTTGGTGTTTTTTTTTCATTCAATTTTCAAAAGTGACGCGAGCTCTCTGCTGCCTAAAGGAACTCTGTCTCTCTTACCCAAAATTCCTTCTCACACTGGCTGAAGGAAAGTGAAGAAGCCCCGTCTTCAGAGTGACATGGCGTTACAACACATCTTTCTTTCCGTATAAGTGGTAGTATACGGTTACTTTGTTCAAAATTTAAAATATTAAGCATGCAATGGCTACACAAAAAATTGAAAACAGTGAAGTAGGCGATCAAATAGCGTTTTATGTCTGTTGTATGGGTTTGAACTTGTTTGCAGCCGTTATAAATAAAACGCAGCTGATGCGAGACTTCAACTCGGCTGACACTATAGACTAGTACTTCAGAACCGCTATTGCCAGGCTGAAATTTGACTATAGGCGTAGAGTTGACTCGTCTTATGATCTGAGCCTAGTTTATGCTAGATATTTTCTTAGCTTATTATGGCTTTTATATCCACCATGTGTGCTGTTTGAAGCTTCCTGAAGCCTCTGCAAGCTTTTTCAGATCATTATTTTATGACGTGAATAGTTTCTCGGACGCACAAATATTAAACTTGGCGTGGTCTCTAAGCATCTGTTCTACGGCACATGCACGGTTCGGCTGGATTGCTTTCAGCTTGGCGTGGCGTCATGGTAGCGAGGCGCAGTGAGACAAGGTGATGCCTAGCTGTTGCGGTTTGTATGAGAATGAAGCGGGGAAGTTTTTCCACAGATGACCGCCATAACCATGATTCAGCTTGCACAGTTTCACTCTTGAAAATGGCGCCGCCAAATGTACGCAAATAGGGCCCTAGAAGGTGTGTCGCTAACATGCGTGTTAGTGCCGAGCTATCATGATTGGGTCGTAGATCAAAAATTAGCATTATGAACTGGCACGTTCTCACTTATACCCTTTGCCCTCTGTACAAATCGGTAAGAAGAGAAGCTTACGCCTGCAGCATCTAATGCTTTCTGCCACCCCGGTTCTTTTTTATTTTTGCTAATTATTTAGCGGAGCACTAACATAAAAAGCTGGATTTGTTCAATTTGTGTGGCACATAAACACCACAGGAGGAGTTTTTTTCAGGCAGGGTTGTTAAGATTGAGGTTCACTGTATGTCGCAGATAGAATATTACTGAAGTACTCAATCTATACACGGACTCTACGGAAACACTCCACAATTAGGTAGACAAGGAAAAAAAGATGTGCCCTTATTTGTCTGGCGTGACATATTTTTGCATGGCTTTGTTGCGGTTTATTCCATGTTTAGGAGTTATACTTTTATTTTCTCAACTAAATAATAACTTTAGTATCATTACGATGACAGGGTTATGCTGTGCATATGGTTTTCAAAATTTTCTATGTTCAAGAAAGTGTCACTTGTGGGAACACATGTATCATGCTTGTTTCCAGGTGTTTTTGTTTTACACTTATTTCACTGACAATATGCTCTAAATGCTTAAATTTTGGCTTCCATACTTTTCGTGTTGAACTTCATATTAAGGCGTCAGTAACCCCAGTTTGTGATTTTTGACAATATTTTCAAAGCTTCTTTACAACTGTTTTCTCCTGTATGAGTGATGTTTGTTTCCATTTCAGGCTCCAGGTATCGAAGAAAAGACGTCTGTGCAGGAATGAATTGCTCGGCACTTCATGCTTCAGCCAAGCGCTTACGCAATAGGTCGCAAAATAATGTACGCAATGCTTTGTCATCCGCGTAGCTGTCAGTGCCACCACCGAGTTATATATATTCTACGCGTATGTGGATAATTTCCAACAATTGTTCACAACGTCAGCTGCATAATAAAGTAAATTAGCTTCAACAAGAGCAGCACATAAAGGTTGTAGCAATGCAATCGTTTTTCCGCCACGAAGCTAATGAGCAGTGTAGCACTGGCTTGCTTTCTTGCCTACTTATCTATTCTCAAAGGTAGGTCCCCTAATTAATATATGTGCTAATTCAAATGTTTAGGCAATGTTTTACCCGCTATAGTGGTCATAATCTTCGGTTCGAGCACGCAATTAACTATTTCGAGCGTGCTCGTGTTTTAATATTGTCATCTTCCAGTCCATTTTCATGAATTTATTTATTTGCACAGTTCTCATCGCCAAAGTTTTTCGTTAATGCGTCTGTAAACTGAGATAGTGTTTTTCACAGGCAAAATAAAGCTGCATGATCATCGTACTACGTGAAACTGGCTATTTAAAAGAGCACATTTGAACGTAGAAACGTAGCTAATATGGCGTATGAATTCGAAATAAATGTGCGTACAAAGTATGTTCACAACCACACGCGTTATTGTTGATAAAAAGTAAGATAAGTATTTGCCAAAGATAATTACCTCTATACAAATTCAAAATAAAAACAAAACGGGCAGAACCCACATACAGTGGGAATCGATGATAGGCGAAGCACGAATGAGGAAGGTTGATAAGTCACTTTGAAATCAGCACATAGTTACGAGGTGGAGGTGAATGATGCCGTACATGACTTCCGTGTCATGATTATCGTGTTTGAATGTGCCGTGTACCTTCGTCATCTATTCACGTCACGTGATACCAAATTCCGTATATGTGGAGCTAGCAGTATATGTGGAGCTAGCCTAATATCCCGAGAGGAAGGCGTATGGGGCAGTGAGAAGCAACCACAAGGGCAGTATCATCAACTAAACAACGGTCCGGACGACGGTGGCTGAAATAACAGAGGAAGTGGTGATCGCGTTGGCCTCGCTGGATAGCAAGAGGTCCACGATTTACAGCGACTGGATACCAGCGGTCCAAGCATTTACCAAGGGAACAGTATTGGAACCAGGTTTGAGAATTCTTCAGGACAAAGACATCGAGCCACGTACACTCGTTTGGTTTCCAGCTCATATGGGACGCATTGAGGAAGCCCCGCCCAATCTCAACGACTCAGCCTACATAGCTGCGAGAGGACAAGTAATACGCGTAGCTATCGTTCGCTTTGGATGTGGTTGAGTAAAAAACGCATACTTCACATATTTTTATCTGTTAGATGAATGTCTAGGACACCATTTACGTGCTTTGCGGTATCGTAATTTAGCTAAAGAAGTGTCATGTTATAAAAACATATTGCTGATGTGCTTTTGATTTCACGCATGAGTGTAACACATGTTGTTACTGCCTCTCAGATGAAACTCCACATACTCGTATATGGTTGATCAAAGAACTTAGGAACACTTCTTTCGTTGAAGTTATTGAAATAAATCAGCTCGCTATTATGTATTCTCTGAGAACCTTCATGATGAGTCATGTCATTTAATGTTAGCATTGAAAATACCATAATTTCTCTCTTTAGATTCTAACACAATTTATTGTACAGCTTAGTAAACGTCAATTCATTGTTCTTTTATACCTAGGCAATAAACGGGACTAGGTATATTCTACTGCAATAAATCTCGTGCTTCACTGTTATCTGAATATATTGCGCTCTTGAAGAGGCGGCCTCACATAAACGAGACGAACAATTAGCATTGTGAGCGCTGGGCGTCACTGCTTTTCTTGACGTTCACTTTACACCACATGGTTGAAAAACTAGTATTAAAATAGCTTCAATCATCTATTTTCATGTTAAAAAATTATAACTCCACCTTGAGCTTAGGATATTAATTCATAAATATTCCTGACAACGAAATCAGACAACTGGCTTTTTAGCCTGCCGCCCGGTTTCTTTTTTTTTTGATGTTGCCTAAATGTTTTATAGGAGCAGAGGTGTTATTAGGCAGGTGTAAATTTTTTTTACTGATACCGAATGAGTTATTCTAGTGATGAATTTTATTGATGGGTTGGTTGATTTTTCTTCAATTAAGATTGTCAGCAAAATAAATCGTGGTTTTATTTGAAGTGTGAAGCAATGAATGTTATTGCAAAGAATGGGAATGTTACAGGAAGAACGGCAGGGAGCTGAAAACTTGCTGCCAGCTGCTCATACACAAACAAGGGCGCACGAAAAGAACGCTCAAGTATACCTACATCGAACGAGCGCAAACTGTCTCATGCTCTCACTCCAACTAGCCCATACCTTGTCTTCTGTAGCTAGCAATTCACTTCGTTCGCAAACGCAGCCGCTGCATCTAGCCGTGACCTTCGTGCGGGCTTAAACGCAAACTTGTTGGTGAGAGCACATGACGTACAGAACTCCCCCTGAAGAGTTATGAATCATGAACACTAACAGCCTGTATGTCTAAAGACAAGTCAGACGCTCACATCCCAGCTGTGGCACAACACTAGACAGTTTTGGGAATGTGGAACGAAGAAATTGGCAGTGGCGTGTGAAGCCACTGTTCGCGCATGCGGCTGGCTTCGACTATGGTCACTAAACTAAAGCTTCACTGGGATCTAGTTGGTACATATTGTTGAGCCAAGATTTAGAGCATGAATGCACTTTTGTGTACTTCTTAGTTCCTTGATTATTTTCTCGGTGCCTATCTATGTGTGATTTCATGCTTTCCTGTACCTCACACACTTTCACTAGAGCTGTTGTGTGGATATGTGCAGTTATGTTGTTTTAGTCTTCTATAGACATCGGGGTTTGAAAGAAAAATGCAGTTGTTAGTCAGCGCTTGAGAGCAACGTTTCTTTTTCTTTTTCTTGGTGAATGTCTTGTGCGTTGGCGCTGTATTGTTAGCTTGACCATTCTAGTCACAGTGTAAAATATCTACTGTAGTTCTTCCTCCGGCGTCTTCTTTCTTCCTTCATGTTACATAAGCCTACAACAGCCAAAATTGTACCACTCACTAGGACCAAAAAGTGCCACGAGACTCTCTTCTTTGCCCCGGGCCGATTGGCAGCAAGTCTGCTCTGCGCAACTTTGTTTCAATTTATTGCTCTCTTTCTCTTTCTGTCGGTCTTTCTTTCTTTCAGCCTTTTTTTTGCCGGTCACATAGAAATTGTATCTGATGCCAAGGAAATTGGTGCACTAATTTGGGGAGTGATGCAGACGAAGACGATGACGATGATGCAGAAGAGGACAAAAAGAGCGGGTTGGGGTTGAAGATGATAACCTGTTCGCTCTGCACGTAGTGATGGTCGCCTCCGACAACTTCACGGTTAGTAACAAGAATAATGCACAGTGAAAATTATGGAAGTTAGGCGTAGTTTATACAATGTGATAAATAAACAAAATGGCCATAGTAACCAAAAGTCATGAAGTTCTAAGCTTGCTGCAGTATATACATTGTTCCTTAAAGGAGGTGGCAAAAAGTGATGCTTGCAAAGCAGGCACAATCAGCTATTCTTTTGGATCACGAACATTGATTCTTCTTCGAGAGATGCGTTAAATAATTTGAGTAGGGTGAAAAGCAACATAATCTACTATACTCTGCTTAGTCATAGTACATATTGAACATAGAGATTTCTGTAGTGCTTTTGTGGTACACATGTTCTGGAACATAAATAAAACAATAACTGACCACATGAAATCCTTTAAGTACCTAGAAAAGCCTGACATTAAGCAAAGACGCGCACTGGGGCCACCAAGGCGGTCTACCACGATGAGTTACCTTACATCTGCAGTAGTCCTATTCATTTTAACATGCGTATTTCACACCCACGGTAAGCAAGCTTCCCCAGAAATTCTCGCTTTAGAATTTCTAAGCTTTAATTACTATGGAAATAAGTAGTTGGTAATAATTTTCTTGCACACCTAAAATCAAGTTTGATGGTATGGTTGTAGTATAACTGCTGCAAAAAAGCGTATGATAATTAAAAAAAACAGATATGAGTAGTTAACTGAAAAAACAAAGAATTTAACAATTCAGCCACAAATTTTACTTGTTTTCGAAAACGGAAGTATACGTGAAAAAGGAACTGATGCATAGTAACTTTAACATTAACTTTGTGCGACAAATATGTTTATATAAATACAAACTACGTAAGTATAGGTAGCCCACAACCCAAATGGGGATCTGACATGGCGATCTGCGTCTGAGGTTGAATGGATCCACGAGGACTGCCCTGTGACCAAACCAAATACGACATAGGAGGAGTGGAGGAGAGATAGCCTAAACCTATGCGGTGATATCACTCCGTACAGTAACTCCAGCCCCACCCTAAGCTCAAAAGAGCCCATTCTGTTCAATGACGGCAAACACAGACACCTGCACTAACTCCGTCCGTATGAATCACATTTAACCAGTTCCATACACCGAACGCGGGCATGTCCTGCACTAGTTAATACATGGCCACACTAGTTAATAAATATCTGGGCGTGCCGAACGCTAACTGCCAGAGCTAGCGATATAGCTTTCAATGAGGACCATCAGGGGCGTTGTATAGGGCCGCGCCGAGAGTTTCAGGACTACTCTAGGTGATTCGGGAGGCGACCAGCTGCTACGGAACCGAGCTCGGAAAAATTCAGGAACTAAACAATGTTACTCACTTAGTCACTCATTACGTTGATGGTATACTGCCTTACTAGGGGGGCGGAAGGGGGGCAAGAATTTTATTCACCAGCTAAAGAAGCAGTTTTCTTTGCCACCATTTTAACAAAGATCATCTCCAAATGGTTAGTATATAAGAGGTTTGCGTGGCACGTCAACGTTTGTTTTGACAAATTCTCCGTCGTGTGCCCTATGTGACCCACGTGTAGTGCACGCCAAAAAAAAAAAAAAGGTATTTGAAAGGAAAGCATGTGCCAGCCCCGACCTTGTTGTTGTATCTAGTAATGTGTAGCGTTTGCCTAATCAAGCTAGTCACTTTG